AGAAATGAGTGATAGAACTTTTAATCCTTTGACCTACGATTTACTGTAAGATCGTGGGTGCCATAATTAAGTATGAAATTCCTTGCGTTCTTTCATGTGACGTGCCTGACTCGTGTTTTTCATCTTCGACTCAAATTCTGTACCACGGATCTCACGCGTTAATTAAACGATTAAAAAAATTAATCCCAAGAGTGAGATAACAATGAAAATAGATCTGGATAGAATTCGTGAATTTAGCGACGTTAGAAAATTAAATGTTACGACAAAATGATCGAAATGATCAAAATGATCAAAACTTCGCAGAAATTTTCTCGAGTTTTGGCAGCGAACGTGTTAATACAGAGGAGTTGGAATAGGAACAATTTTGTTTTCAATACGAGAAACTTCTTCCTCTCATCAGATCGCCAATCAGCGTCACTCGAGAACATACTATAATAGGTAGCGTTTGTCGAAGGGATACGTATCGACGAATCCACATAGCAGTTCCAAGACGCGGCTAACGTGCACCAAGAAATGCCTCGATGAACTTTTAATTAAAATTCCCTGCAACAGAAGTCACAAGTTTCGTTCAGAGAAAAATTAAAATTGCTCGCGAAGCAGGGTGTAATTTTATATCGTTAACTCTCCGGCTTATTTACTATCATATTTTCCAGGACGCGACGTCCCACGAGTGCCAGTTTTCTCAGCGAACGCTTCATCGTGCAGCCTTACGTCATGAAACGAGATTCATTGCTATAGTCCGTTCACTTTGGATTTGGCTGGAGAAAAATTCTTCTAAAGCCCGTTTACATATACATTTCCTAAGTCGTTGCAAATAATTTTATAATTCTGTTGTTATTATCGTATTACGTATAAAAGTATCGTAGGGATAATTGCCATCCCTACAGATGTAGATTTCATAGATATCTAAAAAAAAAACTGTTGCTTCCATCGTATATTTACGGTGTAGAATTAAAAAATTTCACCGGAACTGAACATCGACTGTTTACTGATTTCCCAGGTGGGAAAACGTCTTGTTTCTCATATTTTCTTCTCGTTCTAGAAGCATTCGCCTACAAGGTCCGATGAGCATTTTTAGATTATCCCATTCCATTGAAAAGTTCTTCGTTTTCGATACGAGGAGCGTGGTTTGTGTTCACCGTGCGTCGTTTAGTGTTAAATGGGGCGCGTGTGATTCTTTTCGGGCGCGTGCGTGACACGTGTCACGGTAGCTGGTAAAAAAGGAACAGGTGACGTGACGCTGGGCGTCCACGGCTGACGAATTGCCATAGTCACCGTACAGGCGCCTGTTTAATTCGATACCAGTCGTGTTGCGTCGTGTTTTGGCTAGGCAACTGTCTTTCGTTATGCTTCACGAGAGCGCTTCCCAAACTTCCAACGTTCCACGAAAGATCACGATTAATATTCAAGAAGACAACATTGTTATAGTATGCTTGTAGTAAGTTATTAATAATAATCAAACAGATCCAGTACATAATGAATTCTATGCATTGTTGCCTCCACATTGGTTAACGAAGATCTACGAGGAAATAACCACATAGAATAATTGTTTCTTTTTTTTTATTAAATAATAGTTTATCCAGTATTTCTATAACCGTTCTCAAGCGGAGTATGACCCGAATTTCCGACAGATTTCATCGTATCCGTTTCGCTCTCGTCTCTAAAGGCGCAACCCGTTTTACCCGTTTTCCATTTTTAAACGCAAACAGCCGGCAAAGAATGCAAGTGTTCCGTAAATATATTACGAGACGAGCGGTTCCGCGACTGGGAAAGTTTTGGGAAACGTCGCTCTACGCGTTTAATAATCGATCAACGGTGATCCTCTTTCGACACATCGCGCATCGCTGGGAATAGAGCGACGGAGATAAACGATTTCCGAACGTCAAAGACAGAGCGATCTCCGCTGGAACTTAACCATTCATAAATTTCACTTTAACGCTCGTCGAGGATAGCTCGACAAGCTTTGGAAATACCTGCTGAGCGAGATTCGATTGGCTGAAATCGAATTGCACGGCATCTATGAGAGCGTTTCAACCGAGCAAGGAATAAACACGAGACGAGTAAACGCGTCGAGTCGAGAAACTTAAACATTTTTAAATCTGATTCTTCGAGCGAGTTTCATGCTGGAATATTTTCCATTTATTTTATATACAATCATCGTAAAGACTAAATCGTTACTATTTTTGAAGCTAATTTATGACCTGACGTTTAGCATGCTCGCTGCCACACAGTCTAGTTCATCACACAGATTATGTGACGTTAGAAAACACGATCCAGAACATAACGCGAGCACTACGAATTCTTAAAAACAGTAGAGTCAAAAAAAGCACAGAGTTTATTATTTTTCTAACCGTGACTCGTATAATCGTCATAAAAACGTTATTTAATTGTTAACGTACGTTAGGTTTTTTACTGTGTCTTCTCGAGGAGATATATTACGTAACACCAGCAAAAAATAAATTAACGCTACGTATTCATTATTTATATTTTTGCAACGCCTCAAAAGTCTTTCCAAGTATCACAGTCGCGTAAAGCACAGGACCAGACTATTATTAAATTGTGAAGTTGGGCGATCTCGGTTCGTTCGATCGCGTTCGATTCGTTGGAACGCGGCGGCCACTTTGAAATATCGCCTTTTTATCCTGAATAACGGGAGATGTTTGCAAGAAAATTTATGTTGGCCGAGATCGCGACGAAATGAAAGAAACCTTACGTGGTCGTAAGGAGAACGCAGATCCCACGTTATCACAGTTTTCCATTATGTTTCTCCGTGCTGTACCATAAATACGTTCCTTCAGGGGTGTTTAAACTTTCTTTCGACGCAGCCACCCCCTGGATTGCACTGGAAGCAATAAAAGAAAAGAAATATCGCTACGAAACCTCACCTGTATTTATTCCAAGTAAACAGCGACGCCTTTCACCCGGCCAGTTACAAAATAATCAAAGCGGAGTGAGACATTTAAAAACGATTCGTTTCATTTTGGCGCTGCTTACTTCCGAATCAATAGCGTTCATACATTTATTCTCCTATCCAGAAATTATTTGTGTTATTCCGATGTCATTATTAATACGATATCGGTTGCAAGAAACGTTAGAAAAATGCATCGGACCCGTCACCAGCGGAATGAAAACGTTGACGCAAACACTGTCCCGTTCGACCGTTCCCTCCACGATTGATGCGCTTAGAGATCTCGATTTCGATTTGTGAAACTGTATTCTCGAACGTATGAAATATCAAAGCGTTAGCGCAATTCCAATTCGTTTCCTATACACGTTGCTATCTGATTTCGAAAAGGTTGAAACTGCGTGCGCTTTTGCGCGCAATGTTTCCCGCACGCTCGTTATAAAACCGGCAAACAAATTTTATTTAATATTATTCCCGTCGCAGCTCCGAATGGATGATTCCTGGTTATCGCGGCCACTGTTTACGTTCCCAGCTGCTCTCCGTTACTGACGCATAGTTGCATCGCGTTCCATTAATTGATGGACAAACGTTGGGGATCAATTCCTATAGACCGATCCAATTACGAAGGGAAACGCGCTGTGTTACCTGACAGCGGCCAGGTGATTCGAGACATCGACGAACCGCGCTCTGCCATGTTCTCGTCGAATCGTTTCCAAGGACATAATTGGGCCCCCTCGATTGACGAGTGGCGTGACTCCAGAATTACGAAAAATGAGTCCACGGACGTTACAAGAATACTCGCTTTAGTCGCCAGTTTAACGTGGATAAATTTCATTATTTCTCGAACTTCGCCTCCCTCCAATTCTTTTAATGGATTCTTTTAAAGGAAAACTTTTAATGGATTCCTTCGACCAGAACTCGATCGCTGTTTCTTCGATGGGTATCCGAGATGCTTCGTAAACATTCTTTTTAAACTTCCAACGTTATTTATCATAAGTTTCTTTTCGAATACTCGCATTACTTCTTTCCTTTCACCTGCATATAATGAGATACTCTTGTCCTTGCATTTTTGTTTTTAATACGATAAATACAGTCAACACCTTAGCTTACAATGTCGTGTCAGAAACGTGAATGTCTCAACGCGTGTGACCGACCCTGTTATCGTTTATGACACGCATTATTGGAAAGTAAATCGTAAGGCGAATGGTTAAAGAAACAAGAAAAATATACAAGAAGTACGGTAACTTTTGCGATTCGTCAAAGACTCATCGGAATCAGCGCGTGGCGGTTTCATGCGCGAATCGTGAAACGAACGAACGTTTTGTTAGCGACCACCCTCAGCTTCCGTTTGGCTCCCATCGTGCACAGGACACGCGAAAGATTCATTCGTATGCGACTCTTCGGCTTCCTCGCTTGTTCAACGTCACGTCGAAACGTCAAACCGTTGAACGAAATAATTTCCGGAGTTATTCCCCCTCTGACAACCGGGGAATTGTGTAGAGGATCAGGCGCGATTAACGATTCATCTGTTTTAAGACTCCGCGAACTTCTCGCCGAAATATCAGACGTTAAGGATTTATACGGCGAGTTGAAGGTGACGTAGCGGGCGGATGGGATTTTTCGCAGTTTTATCGCGAAGAATTATCACCTCTTACCCCCGCGCTCACGCTCCATAGCTTTCTCCGATTCTCTAAGTTCGTCGAAGAGAGTCGAAAGTGGCTTTCGAAAGGAAACATCGAGCTCAGAAATCTATTCAAACCGTTCTTTGCGAAGAGGTAGAAGGTTTATCCCCTATCCCTGACCCTTCTCTTGTGTTCAGATTTTCCGGTGCTCTTCACCTTTTAAGCGATGCGAATATGCCATAACATCGCGTGTATCGCGGACAGATGTTGAAACACGGGAGAAAAGCAGCTTAAAGGTACGTCTTAGTACATCTACGTAGACATTATTTTCATTCCCAACTTTGGGTTGTGTGGCTCGGTATCTTTTATTTTTACTTCATACTTTTCAAATTTTCCCAATGATTTAGTAAGAGTTTTAAAGAGAGAGAGAGAGAAAGAGAGGGAGGGAGAGAGAACTGACTGGTTAAACTCACCTCGTAAAAGTAGAACGAGTCGATCTCGGCCGTCGGCGTCGCGTTTACGTCGAGCAGGGTGGCATTGAAATCCGGAAGGAGATCCTCGGTTCGATTCCCGCAGCACTGTTCGTCCAGGTTGGTTCGGTTCGGTTCGGTTGTTCCCCATTCCTCCTTGTCTCCTTCCGCGGACATGTCGTCCACAAAAGCGTCTCAGCACTGTCGTCCACTCGTCTCGAACGCAGCCCCGCCGAATCAAGTTCTCACACGAGTGTTCGCACACCTCATCGCGTAAAATACATCGTCTTCGAGATGAAAACCGGCGGCTAAGCGTCGGACGACTTCATGTTGTCCTCGATTTCTCGTTTGTTTTCTCACCACTTCCGGTTACAGTCCACGCGGGGGATCTTGACGCATCGTTTTGCCACCTCCGAGTCCCGATCTGCGCGAGTGTATTAGCAATTTTATTCGGGGCTGAAGGACCAAGCTGATAAAGTTTCAAGGATCCTTTTTAGGGGTGACTTGAATGATCAGCGAGAACAGATCGCGTGATTTCTTAGCTCTTCGTGACTAACGAACAGAGAAATGATTGTTCACGTATCGTTTAATAGAGATTTAGGAATTTAGAAATTATCAGTTTACGCCATTGACCTCTGATACTTCCGTAAGAATTTAAGATGTTTCGAAACGTTCAACATGAATCATTACTTTCGATACAGTTTATAATCCAGACTGTGCAGAATTATGAAGACGTTCGACTGAAAAGTCCCGTACAGAATGGTTTAAGATCTTCCAACTTTCTATCCCCGATTCGAAGCATCTTAAAATGTTTTTAATTTTATTCAATCCGAGTCCCAGCATCTTTCGCATCGAGAGAGAACGAAGAGAATTCTTAATAAGAACATGATGTGAAATAATTCGCTGTTATAAAGGAGATCCTTAAGTATGCGTTTCGACAGGAGTTACTTTGACTGTGTGAATTAGTAAAGCTAAGCAGGATACTGGAGTATAATGGCATTTAGAACTTCAAAGGCGACGTTTCCATAATGATAATCTGTAAAATTGAAGAAGGATTGGTATCGTCCATTCTTTTATTACGCCGTCACAGTACAGACAACAAAACGGGAAACCTTGCTGAGATTCTATTGAAAGCATCGAATGGAAATATCGTTGGATTTGGCAACGAGGGACGAGGATTTCAATCAGTGTGTAATCAAAACATTCACTGAAAACTTTGATCCTCGATACTGTTGACAATCGGACGTGAAACGACACAATTTTACTAAAATTCAAATTTTCCATTAAATTCGAAGTTTCAATGAAACTCTTCCAAAACGAAATAAAAATATGCGTAACTCCTACAGTTTATCGTTAGAAATATTTAGACCAACGATTCTTCTTTGAAGTGGATTATTTTAAAACATACTTCGTTAGTCAATCACTTTTTTCCGATTCATAATTGTCTTCCGTTTTCTCGTTCGTGTATACATTAATTATACATTGCGCAAAATTATAATGCGCGACAATGATCCAAAATTATACAATTAGTAATGTGCATTACTTATACGAAATCATGATATTAATAAAATACATATTCATTTAGGTAATTATGCGTTGCTTAATTAAACTTGAAAGTTGTAACGTTTATATAGCTTTCGATAAAAAACCTTGGAAAAGAAAGGAAGATGAATTTTGATAATTCGTTGCGCGATAATGGGCGAGAGCATTACTCGGGTATCGTGTCTGTCCATTACTGGCTATTTCTACTTGTGCTAGAGTTCATAAACTTCGATCGTGGTACAGCGTCGTTCGTTTCGAGTGTCTCTGATTAGATAGAAGCTAGTATAATTGACGTAACAGATATCGCATCGTGTCACCGTTAATATTTACAAACAAACGCAAGTAGAAATAACGAGTATTAGTCTGACGCATTAGACGAGGCGTGGTCAAGTGCGCGTCCATCAAGAAATAACGAAATTTCATTTTGAAACAAACTAATTTTAATTGGATTCAATTTATGTAATTCAATGCTATTATCTGAAAATGTTATTACACAATTTCAAAAGGAATCTTTTATTATTATTTTAGTGGCAATACTTTAAAGATGAAGTTCCAAAAATATGAAACGTAGTTACAAGTTTAAGAGACAATTTTATTTTACTTTAGTGAAATCTTTAGGAAACTTTAATTCTAATTTAACCGATATTTTCCTTTTGTTTAAGGCGACCGTGGGGAGACGAAGCTTGAAAAGCCCGCGCACTAGAGAATTGACGCGTTATTGGGTCGAAAGGATCGATTCCGATGAACGGACGAGGCTGCCAATTACCGAACAATCAAACTTTTCGCTCTGGACACTGATAATCGGACGTCGACGGAGCTTAGACAAGGTATCGTGACGATGCCATTGAGGGTATGTAACAATGTTGACGGCTAGACGCGCAGAAAATGTAAGGACGTGACCAGTTGCAAATGGAACTCGTAAAAATCAGGATTTGCGGAAAAGGAGAACCCGTTCCACCAGGAATAACGTTTCCTCGGTACGTGGCAGAGTTTCGTTATAGCGGCTCTATATTTCTCGTACCTTTGTGAAATATCCGAGAAGTAGATGCGCGTGGACAGAGAACGAAGACACTCGGTGACGTATTTCTAAGGATAATCTCGAAACTAAAGATCGAAATTTAACGGGAGCTTAATTGCTAGAAAATTCTTTTACTCTTCTAGCATGGGACGATATTTTCTCCACCCATTTACTGACCCACATATATATATATATATACTTTTTTATTTTAACCTCAGAAATATAAACTTCAACGAACAAAGGTTGAGCAAAGATTTAAAGAACTAAAATTCATGTCTCGCTTTTGTCGCGCGAATCTTTGTCGTAGAATGAAATATTAATTATGGTCTGCGTATCTTTGTTCGGAGATGACAGGGATTTAACATGTTACGATTTCTAAAAATCGGTTCGTTATTATCACGGAACGTTTCAATCGCATCAATAGATAAACGTACGATTTGTACTTTATATTTTCAGGGTGCAAATACGCGTTCGAAATATTAACCCTTTGAGCTCGCGTGCAGTAATAGTGATGGGTATTAAGGTTCATCTGAAATCTCGAATGCCGTCAATATTACACTCTATTTAATAGTCGATAACCAAATAAATTCTCATTAAAATATTGTATTAGCAAGTCCTCTTTCCACTCCATTTTCCGCGTATCGTTATAAAATGAATTCCAATTACGAAAGCCTTGAATACGTTAGTTCAGCCTCGTGTTCGTTATCTCTTTTATTTTTTGAATCCAAGCTAATTATCCCAGACAAGTTACCGCTTGGATTATCATCACTTTTAAATTAATGTACAGTATTAAATTTGTATTTTCCCGTAATTATCACAATACGCAGCGTAAACTCCGTCATCCGAACCACCGTGGTTCGAGCGTCCTATTGTTCGAAATATATTTCTCCAGCGGTCCAAACTATACTGTCATTATCGCGAATTAGTATTAAACTCTGGGATTGACGGGCACGCAAGCAATAACGGGGTCAAAGTGGAACCGCGTGTCGCCGACTATAGAATCAGGAACGCGAGATAATTGAAAGTTCATAGCCGTTGTAATGGATTTTGAGTAGTGGCCAAAATCAGATCGACTGATTGTTATCCAACAGTCGAGGAGAGAATGGAATCGGAACGCGGAAAATGAACTGGATCAGACAGATCCGTTGGAAAACGAACCTCGACAAAGAAGATCGAGCGAAACGTTTCCAGGTATTATTTCCCATTTCTATTTCTGAGCTGCCTTTTCGCGTCTCCTATTTGGAAGCTTAATTCATGGTTCTGTCACACATTTCCCCATTGCTCTCTTTGCGAGTCCATCGCGTTCAATTCCTGTTGGATTTACTATCCCGATCGATCGATACGCGATAGATTCTTCGTCAACGAAAGCACCCTTTCTCCATTCGCGAAACGCTTTCGACACACAATGAATGAATTATTTCCGTCGAGTTAAACGCGAGGAATAAGAGAATTAAGAACGCAGGAGATTTCTGATTTCAATTTTTTGGACGGGAAATCTCTTTGAATTAAGCCAATACTTCAGTTTGAGGAAGTGGAAATACTGCACGATAGTAAATATGCGAATATTTTCTTTGCTGCTAGAAAAACTTATTGATCCATTGTCTAAGTGATAAGCAGATGAATAGTAATGCTTGTTAGAATGACACTCAGGGCATTATTTATCTTCTCAAAGGTCGTCTTGACGAACTAAACGGAGCTTAATATTTAAGCTCGACGACTCGAAACGAACGATGCGTTTCTTCCAATCGCAAGAAGCACCGACACGTCGACGATCACTTCTCGTCACGCAACAGGTTACGGTCTTATACCTTTTCGACGACTGGATCTATTTCGAGAGGACTGTATCGACGTAACCATATTGCATTTCCTATTTAGTGGATTGAATTCGGTTCGGATTCGAGTAGAAACTGTTTCGACAGTACACGTTCTACACGTCGGGCTACTTTCGTCACGATGGAGAACTTCCAACTCACAGCAATATCGAGAACGAACCTCTGTAATCCAAGAAACCGTAGATTCGAGTTTCTTGATTTCTGTTTGCTCTTTCAGGTCGATGGTTTAGCGTTAAGTGTATTCATCGAACACTGTCGTCGATGTTGAGACTACTCTGGTTTTTATTTTTATTCGAAATGTCAGGTTTCTCCAAATAACATTGTATATTAAAGCATCCTTAACTGCACAATGTAATTATATTATTACACAATAGAGTATCCTTCGAAATATCTTGTCTGTAGGTTCGTCGATCTGACACGACAGAAGACACTTGGAAATTAAGTCACTGTCACTCGTATCACACAATCGTTAAATCACAGTGACTTTTAAATATCATCGAATTCGACTTGTGGATCGTTCGAAAATTAACTTAAATGTAGTCATTCCAAGCCTCTTCATCTTTGATCTTTCCAGGTCTTCGTTTTATTATGAAATTATTGAAAGAGACCAGAACGGGTCGAAAACGTTTGTATTACATTAAAATCCACTGCCGATGAATCAATCAAAGAGTTGACTCGTAGGATCATTGCTAACAAAGGTATGCCCTGTGTCAATTAACCTCTGAATTCATGCTATCCATTTAGGAAAAAGAAATTCTTTTCATAAAGTACAAATATTTATCGACAAGCAAAATGTACATATATCAATCTTTTAAAGTCACCGATTGAGGGAGTACACCCTGACACTAAACTACCGAATTGTCAACCTAATTTTTTTTTTGTCAACCCTTGCCCAGAGAATTCTTTTCAGATTATACTCGTTAATTAATCACTGGCAGAGAGATATTCCCAAGACATGGCGATATTCCAAAAATAAACATAAAAAGAAAGCGAAATGAAACCACACGACAAGCTATTCATTATGCAAGCGTGAACTATCGTGGAAAACACGAGGAAATGGTCACGGGTGGCTTGTTCACCTTCGACGAGAATCCTCGTGTCGATTTTTAAATTCGGTACATAATTCAGTTGTTCTTTCGAATCGCGCCGTTTTCGTCCGTTTATGCAAATGTCGATTGGCTGAATGGGAGCAGGGTGTCGCCGAGGCGTGACAGGACCGAAGGGATTTCGAGATAAAAGTAGAGGAGGATCGGAAAACGTGATCAGAACGAACGAGAACGTACTTGCTCGTACGACGCGCCGAACGCGACTGCGGTACTGCCGAACAAACTCGCGGCGATTCCGCTTTCTTACTTACACTTCCGCGATCGCTGGAGTGCGCGTGCAGGAGCTTCGCGAGCCCTGTACGCATGTGCGAAGAAGATCCTGGTCGAAACGTGGACGAGCGTCTCTTGGAGTACTCGTCCACGTCGGGTGTGTATTGCGCTAGTGTTGTTCCGCAAGCTTCTTTGGCTCGTTACCTCTTTCTGAGATTTATTTCTCACCCTTCCCACACCTCGGTACTGATGGTCAAAACAATGGTGCACCGGTCTTTTCATTTACGTGGAGGACATTGTACAAGGAAACGCGTGATACGTAAAAGATACCGGAAAAGATGTTAACGTGAAACATGGAGAGAGATGAAACATGGTGTAAGCTGACTGAGCTTTGCCCGAACGATAGTTAATTTTGCTATCGGTGTCGAAGAGCTTGTAGAAACTCATGTGCATCAACTCAGCTCATGTCGAGTGCAATAAGGAAGCTTATAGATTAAGTCCTCTTTAGAATAATGCATTTGAATTTTAGCTATGTTTGATCTACTTATAGAGTATCTTTTGCTGTAGAATTAATAATTGACTGACTTCAAAAAGGAGTTTGATACAAAACTCTTAGTAGCTTTAGAATCCATAAAATTTCTCTACTATTTCCTGTAAACGCAGCCTCAGATTGCGCTTCGATCGCAGCCGAGGATTCTCGTAAGGTGATCTCGAAGCTGACTCTCTAGCATTTACCTGAAATGGATTCACTGGGCCTGCGTCGAATTAGGCGTTCATGACCTTCGTTCGATCGCTAACGAGTCGAAACGCGTACGAGCCGCCCCCTCACGACGCGCATCTCGAATGCATTCGAGTGCCTCGGCTTATCAGAACAAACGGAAGCGCGATAGCCCGTATTTCGGCGCGCATCGATGACGAAACGGTTAGGCGAACCGAGCGCAACGGTCAATTGAAATTCGCGCCGCGTCCCACCGGCCGGACACGGCGTTCAAAGGATACTCGTTAATTTTGCTTATCGAACCACCATGTGCTTATCTTTTTATCCACGGCACGGGCTATTAATAAAACATTTCTTTTTTCGGGTAAGTGTTCATTTTTATCCGTTCGAGCACTCTTGGTGAAGTTTGGCAAAATAATAGGCGATTCGTGATAATGGATCGACTTTGAGATTTAGGATTTTTTTGTTCAGAAACACGAAACATTCTTTTGTAAAATCTTACACGTGGTTTTGTTTCTACGTGTTCACAGAGTATTTGAACATTTTTTGTTATTTTAATACGCGCGTGGAAGACGAGATTTGATTTATTGACAGTGAATGACTATTTGACGAATGACTGAACGACGAACAATTTTGAATAAACCTGTTCCCCCTAATTTATGTGAATATTCTGCGCAATAAGTGCATTACGTGCGCAGAAAATGTTGAGATATAATCGTCGAAAATGTAACACGTGCCCTAGAAAATATTACATAGTTTGCTCTGGGAAACTAGTTTATCTTCAACAATTTTCTGTTCAAACGTTCTGCTTTCAGAGTTTAAAAATGTTACTCGTTCTCTCGATCGGCCATGTATTTATCAAATGCGAGCTCTTTTAATAATTCATGGAGAGAAACAGTTATCATGTTAATACGAAAACGATCATAACTTGAAAACAAGGTCAAATAATTAACATGTTTATTTGAAGTTTATTCGTTGTTTTTGTGTGCTTAATCGATTCCTGAAGAGATACTTCGCATTAGTACACCGCACTGCCATTTTGCACATAAATAAGAAGAACGTTGTTCAATTTGTCGATTAATTAAATTTAACTCAATGTTTTATACATTTACTTTTATCCCAAGTGGGCATTGTCATTTTCCATGGGTATTACAATTACAAATAAATAAGAATGTTACCCTTAGAATTTATTATTTTATTGATACAACACTTATACGATACTAAATTGTGTGTGTACACGTTCCATCTTCTATTTATTTTTTCTCTACGTAAAGGCAGAAACGATTTACGTGACTGCGATTCAGATTCACTTTTTTTATTAAACCAGGATGTAATCGCCACCTATAACAACATTTGTGGCGTTCATTATAAAAAATGGTGTGCGCTTATTTGCTCCTTTTTTAATGGGGTATCCGCAAACGATGTTTGAAAAAAACACATTTACTTTGTCTGTAAAAAAGTTACATTGGCAACGGTGCGCCATATTTCAGCACAAAATGATGACTTCAGTCCACATGCACGATGTCAGTGACTTAATGAAGTAGTTTTATTGATCCAGTTTTTTCCCCCATTGGAATCATTAACAGTTCCTCGCGGTGCTACATCTGCGGATTGTCAAGGGCGTTTCGTACAATGAAACAAATTTATCATTTTCAACGTTTCACCCGAGATAATGTTTAAAAATTGCCCAGGTCTTCCCAAGCATCGAGCTCTATAAAACTTTATAGTCGAAGTATAAAAGTTTATAGTCGAATTCAAAGTTCACTTACTGCGAAATGAAACTGAGTAACCGTTTAGCTCGTGACTTCAAAGACCTCGTCGAGTATTACCGTGTAATATGCTTTTCTAGCGACGAATCGTCAACGTTAATACAGCTTCTTCGCCGACACTTTGACGATTTTTGAGGTGATATTTGGAAAGAGTTCTCCCTTCTCGTCGACGAGGTCTTTGAACTCTTTCGTGAGGAGATCTTCGAACCCCGATCGTGCAGCCAGCTTCTGCGAGATCGGCGAAGTGAACACGGTACTTGTCACTTGGATATTGTACTCGCGACCTATGTTTTCCCTGCGACAAAAATCGTTTAAATTAACCATTTAAATTTATGCATTTCATATATTATTTTACGTGTGTATTCGCGTACGTTATTGTTTGAACCGGGAAACATTGTTTTCAAAGCTATGGTATTTAAAAAATGAATCAATAAATGAGCTGACATGCGAATAAAAATCCCAGAAATGGGTCACAGGACTTTTCATTAAGAAACAAAAAGAATTAACTGTGGCAGTAACGAAAATAAATCGTGACGAGGTGAAGAAATGAAATACTACAGCGAATGTTAAATTATCTAACTTTCGCGAGACACGAGACGAAGTGTTATGATAACCTTGTAGAAATTTTCACGAGTTTAATCTGGCAAACGTGTTAATTATAGGATCTACCTTGCTTTAAGAAGATGATATCCCAGACCAGCTCCCCGAAACGATGGATGCACAGATAATCCAAGAGCGGACATGTATCTATCTACTCCGTATCTTTTGTATACACCAGCTTCGTGGCATAGTTCATTTAAAGCCACCATTATTCTTTTTTCCTTTTCCTGTGAAATAGTTTTCAGTTAATAATTAATATTTTCAGATAAGCGTGGTATTCGTGCGTTTCAACTTTGTATTTTCCCTTTAAATATATCGATTTTTAAATTTAATTTAGTTGCGATCCATTCTTGTCGATAGTTACTAATTCGAGATTGAAATAATTAAAAACGGAATAGCATGCGCTTGAAGTGAACCATAGCTAGTAGTTCAAACTAATAATGCATTAAGTAAGATAGCAGACACAACAGATAACGTATCGTGCAGAAAGAGCAATAAGAGTACTGTATGTGTAGAATTATACACGGTAAGAATTAACGTATTAGTCGTTTACTTATAAATGATCTTTTTAAATACAGAATGCTACTTTTATTGACTTATTTTGTTCTCAGTTATATCGTCAATAACAAACATGAATTGATCAATCATTCGTTGGAATGGAGTGCAATATATTCAACTGTGACATGAAAATTGATCGATGCACGTCGAAGGCGTAAATAAATAAATCACATGCATATCCAGTTCCTCTAAGGATTCTCCCTCGAAGGTCAATCCCAGTATGTTGGCACCCGCTATGATTGGTTTGCCTCCATCAGGGTTATCCGCGAACGCCCCCACGGACAACCCTTGGTTTAAAAGCATCGTCCAAGTTTTTCGAAACTGTGCTACGTACTCTGGGTCCTCTGCCCCATCTGTAAAAGTCGATGTAACGATTAGCTTAGCAATTAAACTCGAGTGAAAAACAAATAATATACAATTATCGTTAATCGTGGAAACTTGAAGTGCAAGATTTCGGTGTTATCAGATGAAGATTGATAACAGAAATCGTCTTGCAATCTTGAGATACGAGTAGCAGGAAATAAAAGCATTACGCAGCGAGAGTACAGGTGGATGAGAGAGATAATGGTTGGTATTGGTCACGGAAATTGCAGCACTCATCACCGCTCAATATTTTTGAGGTGATGTACGCTCTGTGATCGCTTCTTACTATTTTATTCTATCTAAAATTTAATAATAATGTAGGAAATAAACTACGATGACTCGTATTCATTGTACACGCGTACGTGCATTAAAGATTAGCGTCGCTCCCGCCCACGTCGAGCGGAAACTGAAGTGACAGGCATATCCTACTTCACGTTTGGAGTTTTCGTACTTGCGTTCCATTAAATTAGCTCGACGAATTTCACCGCGCACTGCCAATTTGGTACAGTTATGAAAATTCACGTGTACGTCATAATTATTGAATTCAACTGTATTTATTAACCGTCGAGGCACGCGAAGAGTTCACAGCGTTAATTAATTACTTTGGTTGCAGTCTCACGATATTGTTTACCACGTATCCCTCGAAAACATATCATTAAAATGTAAATATCACAGGCGGCGCTATTCTATCTTTTCGCGGTGTCACGTTTGTGGAGAACACACGATAGCGTAATGCGAGAACACGCCGGTTACCGTATTCTGACAAGTAACGCATCACGATAGAGCATTTTTCAAGCGAACGTGTCCAGTTGAAATTTAATCTTCTTTTGTCGTTTATCGATCAATACTTTTGCACTCGGATATCTAGGATGTTTCGGTAGCGATCGTACAGGATAGATTTCGTCGAAAATGCCCGAAAACGCCAGCGAAAATATGGCAAGGAAAGGCGAACAGATGTTGCATAGAAAGATGATACGATAACGGCCGACAATTAAGAGAAAACATAACAACCAAATGGCTGTCCTTCTTAAATTTCTTTTACGCGAGTTTTACTAAATTTCTTTTTATTAATTAATACCACTACCGTAGAAATTTCTGTCGAATTAACGTTCACGATGTTTCGTGCATGCTGAAGATCAACAGATGAAGTCTGCTCGCGTAGAAGTGAATGTGGGCCAACCAAATACGATGCTTTTCGCACCGAGCGAATTAACGCGTTGAGCCACAGTGTTAAGTGTCGTTGCTCGTAAAGATAAAGTAGTTGCGAAAACTAGACAATAGGCGTTTAGTGCGAACTGATACGATTATTGATTAGCAATGAAATTAAGTGCTACTTTAAAAGGGAAATGCGATATACTTACTCATGCACTTGCAAATAGGTTCGTCGACAATGAAATAGGTGCACATATGATCAAGGACATCCTCGTACCTGTCTTCGGGTATCTCTTGAATCGAAATCCTAATCGGTGGTTCATTGCTATCTTTTTTCATCCAATCAACCACATTCCATACCTTTGCTTGACCAGGGGGCTTCATGGGAAACGTAACCGATTTATTCGCGACCTTGCTCATCGTACTTCTCTGGTAAACAATTTACATAAGAGGTAGTTATAGAAATGTTTTATTAGAAAACAATTACTGTAGCAACGGATAGTATGTAAGCGATAGCATATAGGGGAAGATTCTATTAAAAAGTAATTAGTGTACTATGTCGTTAAAGACTACGCACTTTGTAAAATAAAAAAAAACTAATGGTATACAGCGTTGGCTTTCGCTATATAAATAACTATAATAACAAATTAATAATTCTAGAATAATTAATAACTAAAAATTCTTTCGAAACTGTTCTTACCAAGTATTATTTTAGACACTAAAATATGCGTTCCGCGGTCTGACACTAACACCGTCTAAGACTTGTGGAGAAATGACCGATGAATTGTGTAATGCGCCGCTCGTCAGTTATCAATCATGTCAGTTATCATTCTGGTACCAACGTAGCGCCAATTGGACAAATTCTCACGTATTTGATGTCATCTATGATAAGATAGTTTATAAGTTTTACAGTTAGCATTTCCTGCACCCACCCCCCTCCCCCCTTAGCGTCCTTATCTTCGTTTGCTTTATTAATAACGTCTCGTGTTTGTGTCTCGTGATAAACACACAGATATCTTTAAAAGCATGTAAATCGATCAACTAAGCTGGATTTATTTTTACAATCGTCTGGGTCGTCGAGTACTCGCATATTTGTAAATTTATTTTAAGTTTGAGAGCAGGTATGAGACAATTTTTGTATTAATGTACATATACTGTTATGTCTTATTTATATTATAAATACAAACGTTATTCATACAGGTACAAATTGATTTGGTTTATTTCACGAATTCCTTCCTCGTTATTCTTTTGCAAAATTGGTGATGTCGTGGTCATTGTTATAAACATTGAATGCTTTAAAGGAAGATGCATTACCAATATTTAATCTACAATGCATTTGCCGTGTATTTAACAGTAAAAAATATAAGACCATGTTAGAAAGAATTATTTTTTTGATTTCATAACTATTATAAATAAAAAATTCAATTTATATTCAAAAACGGTGCCAGTGATCGATTCGCTGGCTCGCTGAACTCTTAATTTTCAATTATAATAAACAAATGACGCCATCTAACGTTGACAGGAGGAACTATTCGAGGACAAACTTGAGCGTTTTCCCGATAGAGGCGCTGACCAAACTCTTAAAATTAGTTCAACCCTTTCACCGCTAGATGGCTTTTGAGTTGACGTAAAAATGGCGGGAGAATTCAAACTATATAACTTGTAATAGAATGTTTATTAACGAAACATGTTTGTTTATTAATTCACATCGTTATCTTTTATTTACATTATACATACAAACGTAATTCATAGAGGGGTAGGTTGACTTCAATCGTTTTAAACATTTTATTTTTGACAAGTGAATACTTTTACATTCATTTTATTTTTCAACGAAATCTGTATTAAAATCGTAGTCATCAGAGGTTGAAATACTAAACTCGTTGAGCTGACCAGCTAAATTAACAGCTACCTTTTCTATAAAATTGAAATAATCGACAGTAATTAATGATCAAACTTTTCAGATAAAATAAGTTCGAAATAAGTCCATACCTCTTCTTGCGCGATCTTTTTTGTCTTTTTTAAATTGTAGCTTCTTCATTTTGTTTAATTTCTGGTTACCTTCGATTTCAGAAAGCGGGTCGGTCTTTTTCTTTCTCGTTTCATTTGTATTCTTTTTTTTATTTTCCATTTTTTTCATCTTTTGTTGTATTTTAACTTGCTGTAAATATTGATATTGACTCATGATTACTAAACTAAAAAAATTATATTTTGAAAATGCATGTAAAAGGTGACTCACTGCTTCCTTCTGCGTCTCGATTTCCATTGCGGACGTGACTGGACCGGTACTTTCGATCAACAAGGAATTAACAGTCGGCTTTTTCGCAGATTCTTCTTCGAAGGTATCGAGCATCATTTTTTCTTCCGCGACAAAACTTTCGATGTCGAATTCTTTATTTATTTGACTAACAATTTCCGCGGATATGTGACAAATCGGTTGTTCTGGTGGCACAGTATAGTATCTGATCTTTCCGGAATTCCAGTCTTCGAGGACGCTACGAGCTGCCGCTACTGTATCAGGGATACCGCCTTTCTTAAACTTTCCCATTCTAGCAGCTTTCAAAGCAAAAAACTCGTCAGGCGTCGAAAACTCTTGCACGTCATACAATTCCATTATTTGTGGCTTGGAAACTCTTTTCAAAATTGCAGTTGCCGGTGTATACGGATCTTTTAAAGACTGTATTTTTACCGCGTTTTTCAGGGCTACGGACGAATCGTCCGATTTCTCTCCTGGAGAGTGATTAGCGAAGACAATTCCTGGAGAGTCTAATAACTTTATTTTTGAATCTAATTGTACTGCCTGCATGGCTTTTGTAACTCCTGTTAATGAAAAATTAAACGACGTAAAGAATGAAATTAATACGCACTTAGATTTAAAGCGGTATAGTATGGTATACCTGGGGTGTTTCCGACGTTACAAGCTCGGCTGCGCTTCAAAGAATTAATTACGCTAGATTTACCAACGTTAGGAAGTCCGACGACTCCTACTCTAATACTGGTTTTAACGTTTCCAGCATTTCTGCAATAATTCGCGAGCAACGACAAAAGTAATTCTGCACCAAAGCAAGTGCTACCTTGTATCATACTCTCTGTTTTCTTTCCTAATTTTCTCCTGCCTAATCTTTTTGACTGAACTTGAGTAGATGCTTTAAATGCAACAGCTGGTAAACTACCGCGTAAATACTTTAACCATTGATCTAAGTTTTCTCTAGGTACTAAGTCAGCTTTATTCAAAACAATTACTAATCGTTTATTTCCTTTAGCAGATTGCACTGCTTCCTCAACCTGTTTACATCTAGTTCCTAAAGGATCTCTAGCATCTACAACCTCTAAGATAACATCTGCTGCATCTAGAACCTTTTTGAACTCTTTATAATATGCTTTTAGAGAATTTTCTTCCTTGGACACGGCAGTCTTTATTTTTTCGTGTACGGTATCTACTTCCATTTCTGTTCGTTCTGCTTGTTTATGTTCTGCCATGGAAACTAATCCTTGCAAACCTGATTTGGCGAGTTGCTCTCGCTTTCTTTCGCGTGCAGCTTCGCGCAGCTTTTCTTTCTCCTCTTCGTGTTGCTTTTTCATGGCTTCCACTTCCTTCAGTATGTCTTCTTTGAAAGGACATTGATTTGGAACCTGTATCAGCTTTGGTTTCTCTGTAAAATTTAAAGAAACATTTACACTGATCAAGACAATCTTAGGTTCGGATAAAGCAGTTTATACACGGAGATTTGTTTACTTTTAGGATGCTTTTTAGCTTCTTTCCTCACTTTTCGATTGTGTTCACGAACTTTTTTTTCTATTTTATACCTCTTCCGCGCTGGCATTCGTTTGCTTTGTTTTTCTGTAATAATTAGAATATTAGTATTATTGGAAATATTACGAAAATCATATGGTTCTAGACAACTTGGATCAAAACATAACCTCCCACGTGTCTAACTTGTATGAATAGAATCAAAATTATTTAATTGTTGTACTTACTTAAACAAAATTTCGCCATTTTTTCAAGTTCCTTACACTAATTTGTAACACTTATTTACAATGAGTATAAATATCTTACGAGACTAATAAGATAAACCTCAAACTATCACGTGCACACGAATCGTGTCCGTGATGGAAAGATAGGTTAGGAATCAGTGCGGTAAATATAAGATGTAAATTGCTAGGTGCATATTGAGTGCATACAGAAAATCAATTCAATTCAATTCAATTCTACAGAGAGTTCAATTGTGGTATCTATCTTAAATTGTAATTATTTTTTATTATTCCTCAGTAATTAAAAAGAAATTAAAAATCCATTTTTGAGGACAAATTTAAAGAGTACAGCGAATGATACGGATTAAAATTACAATTGAAAGGCGAATACAATTTTTGAATCGTCTCGAAATAAATTGAAACTATCCTATTCTTGACATTGCTTAGAAATTTCAGTATTTATAACGAGAAACTGAAATTCGTTGAAAGACAGTGAAAGGTGTGCTTGTATGCATATGAGAATTCTCACACTTTCATTCAGCCTGGTAAAAGAGTAGTTGTTCAGCGATACAGAGACGAGACCGTGGTAGTAAGATTGGAATGGAAATTCTCATAAATTATTTCGTGCTGTGAAATCGCTGTTTCGTAGATTTTCATTGAACAAGTGATATAGTTTCTCTACGCTTATTCCCACGATGTTACTTTCATAATAACATTGTTCTCGTACTGAATTAAATGAAATGTCATTCACAACTGCATTGTCGTGAGGAATGTTATTTTTTTCTCCGACGACGACAATGGAAGATCTTTTTGTACAAAGTAGACTTAGATTATGTATACATGGGGCTTAAGCGGGTAAATGAAATCATCCTTACAGTACAAAAAATTTAATTACATAGGTACGTGAATTTAAGGGTGCGCAGGACCCAGAGCCAAACTCGGAGTTGACTTCAGCGACAGTTGCGGAAAAAGTAGGAAACTCCGGGACAAGGACAGAGAGGGCGATACAAAAATTGCAGGAGAGACGAGGACAGGGCGATTATGCTAGCATGATTTTTATTCCAGGATATTGAAGCAAAGAAGCGATATTTTCTAATAATTCTGGTTTTAATATATTCGTTACACTTCGGCGGATGCGACTCCAAGGCCCGATTTTGCAATTTCGGCCTTAAAACTATATAAACAATAAAATGAAGATAGCAAACATAGTTTTATTGTTTATAAAGTTTTGCAAACTTTTCTACACAGTTCTTATATGCGATATACAAATTATATACAATTGCTTCAATCTTTAATTTAGTTGATATATTGAAATACTGTTGCATTTAATTGAAAAAAGTCAATTGTCTCATCAAATGAACGTCGGTAAGTTTAGCGTTAACGGGGTATCCTGGAATTAGGAGGTCTAAAAAAAAGCGGTTTTTCGTGAAGTTTTTAAGAATGGAAAGAAATAATTAATTTTACCGAACTTTTTATCCCATTTTCATACATATTTGAATACCCTGTAGACATTTTTTCAACAAGAAATATTGAAACTGAGTCGACTGTGACGCACATTTGTAGAGCACCTCACAATGAAAACCTCTTATCGGCGGGAAAGATGCAGGTCGTAATATTGGTTTGACACAAAAAAAAACCAAAAGAAATTTTCATTTTTATAGATTTTTCTTCTATGTGAACCAAGAAAATTCGTACAAAAAAAATTTTAAACAACTTTTTCATCAAGTTAAAGTGATTTTTTCCACTCAAAGAACTCGTTCGTTTTTTAAAACATGCAGTAATTCACATGTTACCATTTTTGCGGGTTTTTCTTAGCTCACGTAGAAGAAAAATGTATGAAAATGAACATTTCTTTTGGTTCCTTTTTTTTTTGTGTCAAACCAAAATTACGACCTGCATTTCCCGCCGATAGGAGGTTTTAATTGTGAGGTACAAATGTGGATACAGTACAGACTACTCAAATAATAGGAAAATAGGATAAAAAGTTCGATAGAATTATTTATTTGTTTTCCATTCTAAAAAAATTCACGAGAAACCGCTTTTTTTTAGACCTCCTAATTCAGGATACCCCCTTAAGGAATTATATTTGAACGGACTATTCGATTATTATTTATTGTAATGCTTATTCGTAGCACTCGAATACCTATAAAATATTAAAATTAAATGAAATTATTAAATTATTCGAATAGTTTCGAGTTCGAACGTCGTGCCTCTCCGCGTCCAATTCATTAAGAGAGCCGCGGTGGTGGGGGAAGTATGGGAACGTCGGGTGTTGCCGGTAGACGGCGTGCGTCGGGCCAGTTCATTTCTGTAATGGCCGCCGTCTGGCGTTGTCGGTGAATCGGTCTCTTTCGCATTCTCGCGGACAAGCTTCGAGCGTTTTGTATCGTTTTGAGAAGAACCTGGTGCAGGACGCTCCAACGTGACAAGAGGTGTGGTGTTGCCTTGTGCGTGGTGTACGGTGGTAATTCGTAGCAGTGTATCATCGACGTACAGTCCACCGTGGAAAATTCAAAAAGGGATTCGCGGTGGTGTTGGCCGACTGTTTACACGTACCCATCGACGACTGGAAAGACGGTGGATCGAAGAAAAACTGTGCTCTGTCCCTGAAGAAGAGGACGCGTGATCGTTGATCGAGCGATGCGATCCAGTCTAAGCAATCGTCGCGTCGTGTCGGGGTCGCGCGATTCCATCGACGGCAGCTCCGTTCTCAGACAGTAAACAAAAGTGACAGCGTGCGCGGATGCCGAAGTTCGATTCATGCCTACCGTCTCGTCCGTGGCTGTCGGCAGTGTTTGACGTGTTGTATCGCGCGAGCAGCTCCGAATTCTCTTCACGTGGTTCAAGGTCTTCTAAAATCATCCTAACGCCACGGTGCCAACGAGGACCCCAGTAAGTTTCACGGCGCTTTCGCGATCGAACGTGTCCCGCGACAGTTGTCAGTGACAACTAACGTCAATCGCGTTTTTACACGCTTTTCTCCAACTCACCGTCGATCTAAGGATGCGTTTTGAATCTTAAATCCCTCTCACTTCGAGAACGGAAGGTTCGAATTTCAAGCTATCAAATTTTATGCGTTCTCGATGGGGGATATGGATGGGAGATTGTTTTTAAGAACTTTTTGGAGTCACTTAGTCTCAGGATGAGAACAGAATGCGTTAGAAGCCTGATATTTTCTATAAATCTTGAGAGACAATTTGAGCTATCAAATTCTAAGCATTTTTTATATTATATTCGTGGTAGATTGGTTTCTATCGGGTTGTCCAGAAAGTTCGTGCCTATTTTTAAGAAAAATTCAAAGGCATATTTGAATATTGATGTATATTTATTGAATTGTATATGTACCATTTTGTTCCACAACCTTTCCACCTGCTAAGGAATGTACACATTTTATTTGTTTTCCGCCATTTCGATAGATTCAGACCTGTATTGCCTACTAAAAATCGGCTCGGACTTTCCAGACAGCCCAATACATGCTTTACTTTAAGATAGATTGGCTCAGGATGTGTTTCGAATGTTATGTCGTTTATATTTCGAAAACAGAACTTGCTACAGTATCGAAACTTCGCTCGCGACCTTATTTTACATAATAATTCGAGCTGTGATATTATTCGCGTTTTCAGTGGATTTCTAACGACGGATAGACTGTTTGTTGTCTTTCTGTTTTGATTCTTCGACTGGTCGAACTTTATAGCGGCGCCGCACGCGTGCCATCGACGGCGCACCATCGATAAAAATTAAAAGCTTTCGTTCCTAGTTTTGCAAATTAAACAAAATTGATGAAACCGTGATGTTTGTTACCGTGACTTGTTTATGCGACCGTAGAAGCTACTTGCGAGACTGCTGTTTATCGAAAGCGATACTGTGAGCACTGTAACTATTTAAAAAAACAACAAAAACTGGGACACGATTCCGAATCGTGATATTCGATGCAACCACTTTTCGTCTCGTATTAGGTTGTCCCGAAAGTTTCTTTCGCGAGTTGCACTCAATTATTTGACGTGGTCGTGTTCATATAAATAGACAATCTAATTTCATATATATTCATGTTGTAACAGTAATGGAGCAAAATGAATCGTGCACGATTCAGTAACGTAACATAAAACATAAATTATTGTGCATGTATTACTTATTAATAAAGGGAAAGAAACTTTTCGGACAACCTAATAGAAACGCACTCGATGTGTTCCCAATTAAACCGTACGCGATCTGGTAACCGTGCTGTGTAATTTATCTGAAATTTCTCGCGTGTGAAAACGTTCATCTGCCGTCCCGTTTGAAGAAGTAGCGCTGTTTTGTAAATCAAATCGTCGTTCGGAACTGTGTAACGTATCGCGCGCGAGCACACGACCGCGTTGGCGTTATTTAACGAATCCGTCCGCATTCCTGGGACTAGGAACTCGTATTTATTATTCGATACAGGTTCGAAGTTTCGTCTAGCGCCAAAATTCGCGTTAACAGTTCCGGAACTATGCTTCATTTGCAAACACAGGAATACTTGCAGCGACGTCGCGGTGATCATTCGAAAGCGGAATCGCGAAGCAAACCCGAGAATTTCTGGCTAAGAAATATTGCCATCGTTGCGAACGGTGCACACGGAAGAGCCTTTGTACGAACGTATTTATCTATAAAAGATATATAAAAATATTTGTGTGTAATATACGTATCAGTAGAGAGTGAATGAGTTTTATTTGTAAGGGTTCTTGACTTCTTCCTCCTTTACCTTTATTTCGTTCTTATTAGTCGGAGGATACTGTTTTTACCATTGTATACGATAAATACAAGTATATACAGGGTGGTTCACGATACTTGCATACCTTGAGTAACTCCAAAAAGTAAGCTCTTAGCCTCGATTTTTTCTTGTTAGAGATTCTAGTTCATCGTCGTTCCTTCTTTGCTGAACAGCTGTTGAGCGTGTAATGGTAACGTGTCAAAGTCCCGACAGTTCTTTAGAAATTGTGTCCGCGAAGTCCTCCTAATTAGTTTCTTCCTCGTATTGATCTATCTTCGCTAATTGTGATCCGTAATTATAGCCGACACAAGAGAAGATACATGCATTACGTATTCCAAGTGAACCACTCCTTCGTTTTCTTTGAAGTACTCCGCGAGTCATTGTCTCGTTGAAAAATTGCAGCCTTCGTACTCCATTTGAAACAACCTATTATATCGCTCCAGAACTTCTTTCGAACGTGTTTGTGTATGTTTCCGCAGTCGTTCTATTTTAAACGTTTTTCCACCATCATTTTTGCATCAAGGTCCACCGATGCGCAACTGGAATGTCGATAAGCATTACACCGCGGTGTCCATATGAAAATTTGATAGCTCAGACTGTGTTACAAAAATAATGGTTAGATGGCGTCTGTATTAAGGTCGATTCAGGCTATACGACACGGACCGTCACGTTCCGGCAACGACACATACCGGCACCGACACGACAAAACATTAAAACACGCGTTTTAATGAAACTATTCACACTATTCCTGTTGACGGAACGTTCAGGTCGGTGTCCTGTTAAGTGTGAATAGTTCCATTAAAACGCGTGTTTTAATGTTTTGTCGTGTCGGTGCCGGTACGTGTCGTATAGTCATGAATCGACCTTTAGGCGTAGAAATTGATTCCGTGAAGGTGGAGAATTCACGTTTACCCTTGTACGGATAAATTGTAATGACCACCAGGTTGAGACTCGTATGAACATAGATTCAATCTACCAGAAATGTTTTTACTCAAGCTGATTCCTGTGCCTAATAGTAATACCACATTGTTGATCGGTCACGAGTTAAACTCCTGTTTGCACTTGCGTTATCTATTGCAATTTATAAAACTCAAAGCGATATAGAATATTCCAAAAGCTTTACTCGTCGCGTTCCGTGTGTAAAATATTTCATTTCAATTCATAATGTTGATAAAATATAAATAAAATTTATTGGTGTTTATTTAGATTGTTTATTTTAGATTGATTTCACATTCAATTAGGGGATAATAGCCGGTGTCAAGAAGTCGCTTTCGTGCTGGTCGACAATGTGTTAATAAAAAGAAATTTGGAAACGTAGGTATCGCGAGGATGCGTTGAAACGCATGTTTCTTCTAGGAAGGCCAAAGCGTTCGAGGACAGAGATGTGCCAAGTTTCGCCGTTGCGGATATTCCATGTGATTGTCGCTGTCGACCGGTTGCCGCACTGCGTCCCTTGCTAGGATGACCATGCCCTAGTCCGACTGTGATTTCCGGAGTGTGATTCCACTGCCAAACGCGACCGTAGATACCTCCATCTATGTAAATGTGATCCTGAGATGCCGAGCTACCGCCCCTCGAAGGACGTAGCTCGTCGCGTTGGAAGTCTTCCCTATCGAGGATCGTTCGTCTAGGTCCCCCGAGGAAGTGGCCAACGATCCGTGTGATGCGGGACTCAGCGGCGACGTTGTTCCGTCCCTGTGCAAGCTGCTCAATCTTCGCGTAATAGCGGTGAAAATGTTTGGTAAGGTGCCGCCGTCGAATACGCCGGGACCACCCAGTAGCTCGTCGAAATCCTGCGCCAGGCCGACGGGGACGACGTGTCTGCCGTGTTTCACGGCGGAGGAGACGCCAGCCCCCCAGGCAGACGAGAAGTCGAAGCCCTGGAGATCGAAGGACAGCTATGTCCCCGTGGTCTCCGAAGCTCCCTCTACGGTCGTAGAGGACTCGAAGCCGAAGCTGTGGAGGTCGAAGGAGAGCTGTAACTCTTCCATCATACTCGACACGCCGTCCATCATCGAGGACAAGTCGAAAGCCAAGAGACTCAAGGAAGCGTCGAGCCCTCTCGCTGAATCCTCCGCGGAGGACAAGTCGAAGACTTGGAGATCAAAGGAGAATTGTAGCACCGCCGCGGCCACCGAGACGTCTTCCCTCGTCGAAGACAAATCGAAGGTCAGGAGAAGCAAGGAAACGTGCACGCCCACCGAGTGTCCCACGATCAGCGATAAGAAGCCACGCAGGTCGAAGGAGAGCAACTCGCTGGTTACCGAGCCACCTTCCGCTGACGACAAGTCCAAGTGGCGGGTCAAAGACTCGAGCAACGGGGGAGCAGAGTTCTGTACCGGGTCTCAGCCGTCGGGCTCAACGTCCAATTATTCCCAGGCGTCCGTTGCGTTCGCCGAGGTGAGCAGACCCTGCAGGACCGAGGCTACCAGTTCCTCGGCTGGGAAGAACGGTTCCAAGTACTCCAAAGAGACGTCCAGCCACGCGAGAAGCCACACAGGACTGGCGGCGAGAAACTCTTCCGCCATCCACAAATGCTCCTCCAACCCCAACTGCCCAAGCTTCGCCAAATCGCAACGAGTACTTTGTTCTACTAGTCTGAGCAGCTTGAACGTCGACCCTGGCTCGAAGGAGCCCTCGAAGCTGGCGAAGAAGCACGTTCCCCTCAATCGAGAGTTCCTCGGGAAAGAACATTTACCAGGGAAGTCTCAGAGAAACGTCGCGCAGACGGTCGTTCCCTCGTCGATGAAGTCTTCGACGAGGTCCTCCGACGCTGGTCATCAACCCAAGCCTCGACAAACGGAATCCATCGACGAACCGGACTCCATCGTCGTCGATTTCTCGACGATTTCCGCGCTTCAATCGATAGGCGGTGAATCCTCCTGTTCGAAATCGACGAGCAAGTCGTACGGCGACAAGGACGTCGTGGATTCATTAGGCGTTCCATCCTCGTCGGCGGGTAGCTGCGAGAGAAACTGCAGAGGGGACTTTCCCACCTCCACGCCGTCGAAGGACTGGACGAAAAGCAACAGTGACGCGTTGCAGCAGAGCTGCGCTTCCTGTTTACCGCAAGACCTACCTACCGAGCTCCAGTCTTCGCCGAGGAGCTACAAGGATCGAGAGAAGTGCCGTGATCCATGGCGACCGACCGAGATGGAAAGCAATATCTGCAACCTGAACGTGTGTCCTACCGATACCTATCAGGATACCGGCTCGAAAAGGAGGACAGGCGCTTCCTGCCAGGCGTTGAGGCATGCGGTCGCCTCGTTGAATCGGCTGGATGACTTCTACATGGAGAAGATCGGGGCTGGATTCTTTTCGGAGGTCTTCAAGGTAGGAGCGCCTATTTATTTTCCATCGGTTGCTTTTATTTTCTTTGCGGATTTCGACCATCTCCACTCGAAACCATGGCTTGCGATCTGGTTTCACCTTGCATATTCCATCGAGCGTTGAATAAAATAGGACCAGAGTTTCGAGGAGATCTTACATTCGTGTCCCTGGGGATTTTTGTGATATACGGAGGAACGCATTTGCAGAATGTTGGGATGGATAGTTCTTGTAACCAGTTGAGATTTTGTCGACACAAGGCTTCAACTTTGACATTTTCGCAACGCACCTGCAAGCATCGTCAAAATCTCCGAGGGCACCGTGGATAAAGTCTAGTGGATTAAATGGTCCATTTGTTAAACGAATGGATAGATAAAAATACGGTAGTAGTCGAAAAGTGCGTTTATAGTACTTGACGCGGTAGTTGAACACATTGAATTAATCGTATGCATACCTCGGTGTTTTACGTAAATTAGATAGGAAAGACGTTAACGACCTAAAAAAGAGATTTGCATAATTATCATAGGAGTTTGCAGATATAATAATCCGATTAATTGGATCATAAGAGCAGTAACGAGATAAAGGCTTCGCGTATTAAAACGCGAGTAACTTCTTAAACAGTGTAAGTGTAGCATCGAATTCGAGTAACGACCCAAGTTTTCAGTTGCATATAAAAATATATTTTATGCAAATGTAACGGTTTTACAGAGGAGCGCTAAACGAAGGAATCTAAAGAAGCTCGACTCCGAAACGATAGATCGAATATGGGATAACGATAGGCTGTTAGAAAAATGATAGACTAATATCGTATTTGGAGCATGTATCTGAGGTACAGGGTGGTCCGTTTATCTCGCGAAGTAGAGCTCGACAAGTTTAATGTGATCCTTGAAGTAGTGACCTAAGCGTTGAGTGTAACAGAGACGAGACCAAGCTATTAAACTATCGTTTATGCATGTAACCTAAATGGTGGGTGTCGTCCGATATTTTTTACAAGAAGTAAGAATAGAAATAGATGTCAAGGACCGATGTCGAATTAATAAGGAGACTCTGTATTATATTCGATTCTCTTTTGTTACCGTTTGATCGTTCAACTTCGTTTCGAGTAGTTTTTTTTACCTACGTAACGATAAGCCACGGAGACATTCGAGTGTTTCCATTTGGTCCACTCGGTGTATCGAGTAATAACCATTATAGTTATCGCAAAGTAAGCGCAATAACGTACGTGTATATACACACACTGGTCGGAATGTAAGCAATCGTGGAACGTGAACGAGATTCTTCGAAAAAACGTGCCCAAAGGTGCATCAAACTGAATCGAGGACACATGGATCGTTCGCTGCAAAATGTTCTATAAGTTCGAAACCTGTTAACGTGGAAGCCACGAACAACGTGTTCAATTTCATTAATGAATAATTCTAAACAGAAGCAAACGAAGCAGACGAGCGATTCCACGTATTTCTATCATCGGGTAGCTTCGTTTCGTAACGAAAAAAAAAAAAAAGGAAGCTTTACCTCGAACGCTACATATTTTATTCCAAGCGCGTACTCCTGGCTCGGTTCTTGTTTAGGAATTCGCAATTAGAATCGAGGATGGTCAGGATTTTCCTGAATAATGGATCGCGAATAAAAACACTCCGTGGACATTTATTCTCACCGTTCGATTCATTAAAGTTTTTATTTGATCGATGTTTAAATATGGTATTATTTCATCGATCGAATGACTGTTTTTTCAATTGCATGCAAAAATATTTCACGCGATACTGAACTCAATAATACATGAAACGATTGTATATCATTTTTATTTTGTATACAAGAACCGTACACAAAAGTTGGAAAGCGGTCGTTCGACAGATCGTGGTGGATTTAGCGTTAACAAATAAATCGGGATCTTTTATTCATTGTTCGAAATTCCATTTAGATTAGAATTTCCAGATGCAGTTTACCGAGTTCCCCGATTAGAATTCTCGAGTGAATTATCATGAAAATAGGAAATCTTTTCTCCTTAACACAATTTTCACTGTTTTTCTTTCGAGTACATTATGTACCGCGCATGCCAGCCGCTCGTTTCGCAATGCCGATGCGCGTTATCTCTCGTTGTAGATTATCATCGGCGAAGATTAGATACGAGTGCGTGCTGCGTTCCCCGAGCGTTCTTGTAAAATTAATTCCTATAATAATCACGCGATTACTCGCTGGTAACGAGCATAAAAAGGCGTGTTTTTTTTCCGCCCTCGACGATTCTCGCCGGCCGCGGGGCAAAATGAATTTCTCTCCGTTTCGTTTGTAACCGTCTCTCGATTCCCGATCCGATTATCGCGCCTGGTGCTCGGATCAGAATTTCAATCAACGCTAGCTGCGAACTCGTAGAAAGCAAATCGCCTCGGAAGAACGAGGCGTTTTAGGCTCGCTTCGTGCAGTTAGCAGAAATTTTAAATTAATTCACTTCGAGAAGCGTTCAGTAATAAAGACACGAATCGGTTTATTGTAGGAATGCAGAGCATTGCTAGGTGATCGTGAGATAAGGAGCATAGAATTATTACATGTAATAGTACAATAAATCACTCTGATTATAGTTTATTACCGTTACATGTAATCAATCATTTTATACAGGACACTTTTAGACTTTAGTGATATATACGACTGCAACCAACGCAACGTTAACGAACGATTAACTCTAATTTAAAAACCACAGCGTGCATTCTTCGAAGCACTTTAACGCAACTCGTTCGAAAGCGATCCTTGCATCTCAAGCGGTCGCTCGATCTCCTTTCGCACCCACCGCTCGTCGTTCACACCCAACGCACGAAAAGTTCATTCACCTAAACATACAATGATATCGTCTACTTTTCCCAGACACCGCGCGCCAAACTATTGTTCTATACGTTTGCCGATGTGGAGCGGTCGATGAAACTGAATTCGACTCGGAAATTACAAAAGAAGCTGCGGTAATAGGTTCGCGATTCCACTTCCTGGTACAAAATACAAATCCTGACGTCTAGATTAGATTTTAGATTAGATAATATATACTCTATTAATAAATATCTTGCTTTGCATAAACGCACGTGCCCTTGGTTACGTTAAACACTTACGGTCGATCCCATGAATATTCGTACCTTATGTCCCTATTAAAGAAACGTGTCTAAATTAAATAGTAGGTTTGATGTTACTAAATAAATTTTTCATCAGAAATATACGCGTGTGTCAAGTTCACTCCTGTATATATTTACAATAAAGTCTTTATTTGAAAACATAAAACTGACCATATCATTTGGAAAAATGTCTTCAATGCACGTAGAGGATAAAATACTTATGGGACTGATTGTACTCGTTTGCATCATAAATGCATACAATTTTTAGAATCACGACATCCGAACGACAGAGCGATTTCTGCAACGACGGTTTCCCTTATTAAAAGAATTCAGGACGCAAAGGGTCGAAGGCGCCATCCGACTTCGATTGAAATTGCAACAACGGTGCAACTCGGTGTTGCATCGCGATGGAAACACTGTGACATAACGATTCACGGGGGAATCGTGTTTCACATTTGCGTAAATCACGTTCTTCCTTGTTCCGAGGCTTTATTATCGTGAATCATTAGGAACATCATCTCCTTGGATCTATGTTGGTCAGGGCTGGCTGCAGCTCGTCGACTTTTTACGCGTTTCCGAGGGTCGAGTAGACGCGCTTCGCTTATTTGTATAAATAGATGCGAAGTCGTGAATACCCGGTGCTCTCGTGACAGATTATATATTCCAGAATCGTTTTACGCACGACGGAACATCGAATCGTTTAATTAGTCCGTTGGTATCGCGAGAACCATCGAAAAAGAGCAGCGACGACATCCCGCTGTGCGCCGTTTAATATTCTCGTACCGCTCTTTCGATCGGGAATCTCTCTATTCCACGAATGCCATAGTTGCACGCATTGTAACGCGCGATAGCAGCGCGAGGATACACTCGTTGCAACTGCAGCTCCTCGCTTCAAAGGAAAAGTCTTCCGTAGAAATGCGTAACGTTCACTGCGCAGAAGTTTCTCCTTGCGCGGTGCTACGCCAGGCACGATGTCCTGGAAGGATGCTACAAGTCACAATTTCCTTCTTCTCTGCAACCGCTTCCTCTATTGCGCATTCCTCGGCTATCCTCCATTCTTAACCACCTGGCCCCCTTATCCGCGGATCGGCGTACCTGCGTCGCTTCTTGTCCTCGGTCCTCTTTCTCGCGACGGGAAAAAATGCTCCCCCGATCCACGCAGTCCTCCGGGACGTGCACGTGCTTCGCGGACACGACTGGAAAGCAGGAATGCTCGACTCCGAATCAATCTTCTAGAAAGTCATTTCTAGTCATTTCTTGGGAAATTGGCGTGGATTTTGTACGCGACCGCGTGCGTTACGCCCTTACAGTCTATGCAAATGTAAACGAGATGTATGTTAAACGTATGCAGAGTGCAGTCAGAAGGAAATATTAATATCCTAGGTATATTTATGTTTTCCGTGTGCTCCAGTGGCGTGCGATAATAGTGTATGGAGTATTCATGGTTTTCCAACTCTCCTAGGTAGATCCAATACTGAAGATGCCTTGGTTCAGGATGTCTTTTGAACCAGGGGACCTTCAGTATCGGAGCTGCCTAGCTCTAAACTAGCCTTGATCCAGGATGTCCTTTGATGTAGGGAAACTTCAGTGTTGGAGCTTCAATGTCAGAGCTACCCAGCCCTGAAGATACCTTGGTTCAGGATGTGTTTTGAACCAAGGGAGCTTCGGTATCGGAGCTACCTAACTCTAAAAATGCAACGTTTGCGAATCGCAGTAAACTTGTGGTAGGCAAAAAGCTGATATCAAACCCAGCAACCTTCTGTAAGCTATGAATACTACAAGGACCGTCGAAAGCTTGAAATCTAAAATAGTACATGGAATACCAGCAAAGAAAAATGTCTATCGTCTTCTGGATGATCGTCGGGCATCGGTGTTATCGTGAGCTATCGAACCGACCCGAGAACCTTGACGAGAGCG